CGATGGCGCGAGATCAGGGCTATATGGTGGGTGTAACATCAATACCCAACCAATATCCAGCAATTTTTGCCGAGTGGACAAAGACGTGTGCGGCCTAGCATTGTCCTGGTGGAAAATGACACCTTTACGATTGACCAATTCTGGTCGCTTTTCCTTGACCGCTGCATTCAATTTGTCCAGTTGCTAACATTCACGGATAATAAGAAATAACATAATAATAATAATAATAATAATAATTTTAGAATATAACATTTACGGATAACATAAAAATGGGAGTGAGAGACATCTATAAATGAAATCGGCAATTACTTAGTTGCCAACCCAATAGTTAAGAAAATCTAGTTCTCGAGAATATTTTCTCTAAAATATATTCTCCGAAAATTTCATTGATCATCTATGATATTTAGAAAATTATTACCGGACATGCGAATTTTATGCATTTGCAACAGCAAACAGATTTGAAGAATTTAAGAATATGTAGTTATTTATTATTTCTCAGCTCACTGAAACTATCGAGGAAAGAGAATTGAATTTTCTGTGTGACCTGCTTTTTCCAAGCGACAAAGAAAATTTTGATTTTGCGCGAAGATTCGCAAGTTCAATCTACTTTAGCCATAATTGTGACTGTGTTTGAAACTTCCAAAACGCGTCTCTCGTTAACCAACGCTGGTTAACAATGAATATTTCATTATTTACTTTTAGTAGTACCGAAGATACGTACCGTCATCGAAAAACCCTTGGAAGACGACGAACTTGTTATTCTGCGGTATTATTTTCGAGAGGCCATAGTGTTTGTCCAGAAAGGCTAAGAACTTCTCGGAGGGTCTATCGATCGCCAGTTTCACCGGCCTAATATTCTCTTCCTGGAAATAAGACGCAATTGGTCACTCACGAGATACGTACAACAATGAAATAAATCGATCAAATTTAAAAATACCGAACAATTTGAACGAAGACTCGAATTATAGAAGTTCGACACATCGAATAGTTGCAAATTGCAGTAAAAATTGTTCCTAATTTTCCTTCAGTTTGTAAACAAAAATGGACAATCTGGTACGAGGAGATGCGATTATTCGAGCCTCGCGGCTCATTTTTATAGTTGCCGATTGTCAACAATTATAAAAACGAGGTGCAAGGCTCGAATAATCGTACTATTCCAAATTGTTCATTTTTGTTTACAAGCTGAAGGAAAATTAGGGAGAATTTACCATAACATGAAATTAAGAACTTCGTTCATACAAATGCAATGTGTTGTTTCGCTGCATTTAATAAAATTGTTTATTTTTGACGCATTTTTATTGACGCATTAAGATTGCGTCTTTAAAGACGCTTCTCTGCAAACGATTCGCGGACAGCTGCACAAAATAACAATTATTTGACAGACTTTGTCGTAAATATCGGTAAAAAAGGTTGTATTTCTGGTTAAAAATAACAACTATAATGAACAGAGAACTTTATCGTTGCCAATAATGATTATCGATGACGAAACTCAATCTCGATTAATTGTACAAATTTAACAATTGAAATTTATTCTAGTTACTCAAATCTCGCGTTCGTTCTTTCTTTAAATATTCTGTTTATTAATACCGTTTATAACATTCGTCAACGAATTCCGTAAATGGCGAGTTCCTCGGATCATTTGAAGCAACTTCTTCCTTTACAAAAATTTTCTCCGAGGCACCGTTAACGAGTTATTAACGAAAAACAGTGACCAATAAGAATCTAGTACGGTTGACGCGAGGCGGCCCGGCCAACCAGCGCACGAAGCCCAGTTCCGCTCATTGGCTCGGTCGCCTCGCGCCAGCTGAGCTCGCCTCTCATTGGTCACTGTTTTTCGTTAATAACTCATTAACGGTGCCTAGGAGAAAATTTTTGCAAAGGAAGAAGTTGCTTCAAATGACTTGAGGAATCCGCCACTTTCAGATTGCGAGACATTTTTGGGACACCTTGTATATTTATATCATATTTATAGCAGTACAAGGGTAGCAAAAAGTGTACAATTTGTCGATCACAATGACCAAAATTGTTACCTCTGTTGGCCTCACTTTTGTAAAAAAAAGAGCATTAAAGATTTCCTTCGCTCGATTCGCTTCTCTATCGAAAAACTATGATACATCTTTAAACAATCTTGGCTTGTTTAACCGCGCCATTTGCTTGTCAACTGGAAAGCCAGTCCGGTACACACTCGACGTCCAAAAATACGAATGAAGTACCTGCAGGTACATCTGTGGTCCTTGGTCTAATAAGGAGAAACGAAAGTACCGAGGCGAAACAAACAGTTTCAACGAGTTCAGTCACCTTTCGGATTACCTTCGCCCGTAACACCCACGCGTAACGACCTTTTGTCACGCTCCTATTTAAGATCGTTCACTAATTTGCCAACGTTGGCCTGCCCGTTGCCTTTTCTTATCGTTTCTCGTTACTCGATACGTTCGTTTCAGTCGACTAATCCGGTATTATCAAAAATTTCGATCGTCTAGATTCGAAGACCATATTTTAAAAAGGGTCTTCCCATGTAATGGTAAAAATTATTCTAACAATAGCCTGCCATATACGAGAGAGATGGATAAGATAAGAAAGATTATGTTATAAAATGTAATATGAAAAAAAAAGAAAAAAAATAATAATATTATATTGTCATATAATATTATTATGATATCAATAATAATATAATATTAATATTGTTATATAATATTACTATGATGTTAATAATAATATAATATTAAAATATTATTATAATATTGTTATATAATATTATTGTGATATTAATAATAACATAATATTAAAAATATTATTATAATATTGTTATATAATATTATTATGATATTAATAATAACATAATATTAATATTGATATATAATATTATTACGATGTTAATAATAATATAATATTAATATTATTATAATATTGTTATATAATATTATTATGAAATTAATAATAACATAATATTAATATTATTATAATATTGTTATATAATATTATTATGATATCAATAATAACATAATATTAATATTATTATAACATTGTTATTTAATATTATTATGATATTAATAATAATATATTATTAAATATAAGTTCGAACAAAAATCGTAGAAGTTATTTGCTCTCCGATTGGTCCATATTCGACAGCTCGTTAACGAAGCGACCGAGAATATTTCCGTCACGGAATAGGTGACTCGAAATCGCCCCAGGAGTCGCCCTTTTCTACGACACCGTGTACAATTTTCTGCAATTTATCCCGGTTCGAATTTTTCGTCAGGTGGACGGAGAAACTGGCACGCTAATGGCAGCCTCTATGTATAACACGCCGGAGAGTACGGCTAATATGCATTAATTACGGAAAAGTACCGTACAGGTCGGCGTTCGTGATAGTTGAGCACCGTGCGTGAGACCGCGGGGCGAATTCACGTGTCGCTAAGCCGACAGCACTTGCTGTGATTCTGACAAGTGCGCCGACCATGACAGAGCCGAGCAAAAAATAATCTGGAATACGTAGTCGGCTGCGCGGCTACGGATACCAGTTTTCTGCAAATCTTTCCCTAGGTCCGCATAGTTCTTCTTGCGACTGGCTCGACGTTTTCCGCGTTATACGCGGCCTTCCTTCCGGCAGAATTAGAGAATTTCGAACAAAGTTCGGGATACTCTCATAAATGTTTCGAACATTGATACGTATGTATTTGCGGAATGTAATAATAGCAACCAAAATTTTACGAATTTAAGAAAAATTATATATCGTTTTTTGTTTTAGAAATTTTAATCCATATGTTAAGATTAATCATAATATATGCGTATGAATTAAATTAATTTCTAAAAAAAATTATATCTAGTTTTCTGAGAAATTAAATTAATTTACAGAGTAAAATTAATCGTAATGTATGTGTGTATATCCGAAAGTAGGGGATTCCCGAGGTCATTTGAAGCAACTTTTTCCTTAGCGAAAATGCAATCCGCGGCTTCGTTTACGAGTTATTACCGAAAAACACTGACCAATCAGAGGCGAGATCATTTGGCGCGAGACGGCCGAACCAATGAGCGGAACTGGGCTCCGTGCACTTGTTGGCTGGGTCGCCGCGCGCCAGCCGAGCTCGCCTCTTATTGGTCAGTGTTCTTCTTTAATAACTCGTAAACGAAGCCTCGGGGAAAATTTTCGCAAAGGAAAAAGTTGCTTCAAATGACCTCAGGTACCTTCTGTTTCCGGATTGCGAGACATTTTCGGGACACCCTGTATATATATAAAAGTTTAAGAGATGCTCGCTTTTATTTTTACAATTAAAATAAATTATTCAATATATATATTGAATAATATTATTATATATTATTATATATTGATATATATATACTAAAATAAAAGCGAGCATCTCTTAAACTTTTTACAATTAATTTCTATAACGAAGTTTTAAAGTTTCGATTTTATCATAAAGAAATTTCGAGATTTGAAACTCTTTTGTACAAAGAACAATTTTCTCTGTTACTTTCATCCTTCTTTTAATAATTTTAATATATTGCTTTAATACATTACAGACGGTCTGAAATTCTTTTAATCTCTCTATTGTTTTAAATGCAACCTATTCTCATGTGTGTGGCAAGTGTATAAAGTCCGCAGCGAACATTTTCGAGATGAAACGAACCATTAACTTGCGGTGCTCGATACGTTTATCGCCAATAAATCGGACTACGTATCCAGCTGGCTAAAAGTTTCAAATAAATCGTTGGGAGAATCGTGTGAGAATGTTTGCGAGGCATACTGGATCCACGGCACCGATCAATTCGATCCCATGCTCGTGGGAACCGCGGGAAGAAACTCACGCGTCCCTTACGCAGAAATAACCGTCCACCCGCGCACGGATTGCGAATCGTCTGGAGCACAAACAACGTGTAATTACTTCCCGAGTAAAAGCAGAAAGGCGACGTGTGATCTTGATCTAAACTACTTCCACGGAAGCCTTGCGCAAAACCAAGTCGTTACCACGTTCCTGTTCAGCTAGTTGCGAAAGTTTCTCATTTCGCAAGCAACCGCCGGCAAACCAAATTAATCAAACGCTAAACGGACAACATTCAATTCGTTCGAAACAAGACAGGGACTCCCCCCTTCTCCCCCGTTGGGTGTCCGCAACGTTTTTAATCGTTCTTTTTTTTTTAGAACTAAACGATCCACTGCGATCTCTTGGAGATGAACTCAACGTTAAGAATAAAAAATACTTGTGAAAATAAAAGTGATGTAATATTTAAACTGGAAAATGGTTTAATATTTAAACTAGGAAATAGTTTAATATTTAAACTAGACAATAGTTTAATATTTAAACTAGAGTCAATGTTTTAGTATCTAAGCTAGAAAATGGTTTAGTATCTAAAATATAAAATGATTTAGTGTATAAATTAAAAAATCGTTTAGTTTTTAAAATAGAAAATTCTATTCTATTCTATTCTATTCTATTCTATTCTATTGTATTATATTATATTCTATTATATTATATTCTATTCTATTCTATTCTATTCTATTCTATTGTATTATATTATATTCTATTATATTATATTCTATTCTATTCTATTCCATTCTGTTCTATTATATTATATTATATTATATTCATATTATATTCTATATATTAATTTAGTAATAATAGTGTATAATTAAAAAATATGTGAAAAAATATTAAAAATATATATAAAAATATATTTAAAATATATATAAAATATATTAAAAATATGTATAAAAATATATTAAAAATATATATAAAATTATATTAAAAATATATATTAAATTAAATTAAATAATATCTAAAATAGAGAATCGATTGATTACCATTCAAGCAGGCGAAGTTTCACTTCGCTATCTGCTTTCGACTGTACATTTAGGTGAAATTGACCTGAAACCGAGTCGATATGCGAGAATTCGGACTAACATACTTACAGATAGCATATACTGATACAGGATGTTCCCGAGGCCCATGCGTTGCCGGGTTTCGTGGACGTAAAAGTCCAAAATGCATCTAGGCTTCAGCTGATAATGAACTCCGGTTTCGTCGAACATGAAGAGATTCTTCGATCCGGTCTTTAGCAGGCCGACCACGCTGCCCAGTCCACTGTAAAATCGAAGAGTATAAGTTTGAAACGTCGCGCGTACGACGATGATTCATGGTTCCGGTCTATCGTCCGAGGTCCGCGTTGCTCCAATAATCGCGCACGATTTTTTTATCTGCGATCGATCTTTCAATATTATCCTTTAATTCCGCGCAAATTAGATAACCGGGTGAAACTTGATTTCGTCGGACAACCAGTGAAAATTTATCCGCGGTGCAGAAGAAGGTTCATGCTACATTAATCGTTTGCACTCGGAGCTGTTTTAACTGTAAATATAAAATCATTTTTTTCTAACTTGTAGTTTTTTTTATTTTATACGACAAAATGCATTTTTATGCGGATGAAATTGACTCTTGGGACCCACGCTTCAGTTACACTCTTAACAATTTTTTAAGTCTAAACTTTGTTAACCCTTTACGCTTGAAGCCAAATTAACGGAAAATTTAATAGCTCTTCTGACCCACGATATCTCCATTTTATGTAATTTTTTTTTTGTAAAAAAAATGTTAAATTTATGTAATTATTATATAAATAATTAATAATAATAATAATAATCATAATCAATAATAATAATAATTATTATTATTATGTGTTAAATTTATGTAATTTATCTCCATTTTATATACAATTAAATTGAATTTTGTAACTCATGCAACAGTTATTTGACAGTTTAACAGTTCTTTAAATATAAACAAATTTAATTAATAAAATTATTTTGAAATGTGACATAACAATTTTTAATGGCACCTTAGGATCGTCACTCGAGTGCAAAGGGTTAATATCAAAATTATCTTAAAACGTGATGTAACAAATTTTAGTTGTGTGTCAGAGTCATCGCTCAAGTGCAAAGGGTTAATATTTTGCGAAATTTTTATGACGTCGCTTTTCTACTAGACAGATCGTAAAGCGTTGTGACAAATGTGATAACACGAGTCGAAAATAATGTACCAGAGATACGATGAATTCTTCCGATATCTCGTCCGTTCTCTGCGTTTCAGCATCTCATTTTTCTCGTAAGTGCGCGAAATTCGCGGTCCAGGAATAACAATAACGTCAGCGAAATAATGATAAATATAATAATACAGTAATATTATTATATAATAATAATTATTATATATAATAATGTCTCTCTAATTGACGCTCAGATTGTCCACAAAAATGGACAATTTTGGAAGAGAAGATACGATTGTTCGAGCCTTGTTGCTCGGTTTTTATGGTTATCGATTGTCAACAACTATAAAAACAAATCGTCACATTTGTAAAAAAAATCGATATTAATAACATTGAACAAAAAACGATAACGACAAAAATTCTATTTCAGAGAACATCGAGGATTTGCTTGCAATAAAAGAACGTACCTTCGAGACGTTATCATAATACAGTAATGTCTCTCTAATTGACGCCTAGATTGTCCACAGAAATGGACGACAATTTGGGAAGAGGTGATACGATTATTCGAGCCTTGTAGCTCGTTTTTTATAGTCGTTGATAATTCGTAACTATAAAAACGAGATGCGAGACTCGAATAATCGTATCTCCTCTTCCCAAATTGTCCACTTCTGTACACAACCTGAGCGTCAGTAAGGGAGACATTACTGTAAAAGGAGAGAAATAATAATAAAAAAAGATGATGATGATAATAACAAATAAACATAATACAATCGTTGCATTGGACGGTTTACCAACGGGACGTTTTTCTAGCAACAAAGCGCACGCTTCGAGCTCGTTAAAAAATACTCTCGTCCGTATGCAGCGAGCGCACGCTATCTCGGCGAGCCGGTTATTTTTCTTCGAGAAAGTTATCCAAGACTTCGTAGGTAAGTATATGGTAATGCGTGAGGGTAAGGTTCGTTGAGCAGAACGGATGAGGAAGAGCTTCATACTCTGATTCGCGCGACTTTTTCGAGGTTCATGGCCGTGCGACGCCTATAATAGCCGTTATCGCGAGGCAAAAATTTCGTTGCGAGACTCGCGTATTACCGGCGCAACAAATTTGATTCCGGTGTACGCGAGTTATGCCACTAGTTTCTTGCAAATCGTTCGATTTGCTCAATCTCGCGTAAATAATCGTCGAGTAGTAATAGTATTCGCGGAATGATCGTCGAGTTGTAAAAACACGTTCACGTAACAACGCGACAGAGACGGACGTAAAAGTTTTGATGGCACATTTATTATAGTACGATATGTCAAATTAAACTTTATTTATTTATATGAAGTCTTATTATAACTTATTATAAGTCAGATTAAACTGATATTAAACACTGTTAATACATAATTGTCCCGTTCATTTGCCAAATTCATTAACTCCGCGAAATGAAGGTTTACTTTACGATGGAATAACGAACACCGCTTTTTACTATTCCATTTCAGATATTATATGTGTACAGAGTCATTAACACTTTAATGACCGCACGTCTACGCAGTCGAACGTCGCCAGGGACCGGCAATATTTATGTAAATTCGTCAAAATAATTCGACATGTGCGAACGTACAAATAGAACAACAGCGATAACAATACATTTAATAGAACAAATTTATTATTTTTCCTTTTTGTGATCATTATTAAAGCAATCACCTATATAATTTTTTAAGCATCACACACGTGTTGTGTGTGTGAACGGCCATTAAAACAACAATGATATAAATATATTTAATAGAACAAATTTATTATTTTTCCTTTTTGTGATCATTATTAAAGCAATCACCTACATAATTTTTCAAGCATCACACACGTGTTGTGTGAACGGCTATTAAAACAACAATGATATAAATATATTTAATAGAACAAATTTATTATTTTTCCTTTTTGTGATCATTATTAAAGCAATCACCTACATAATTTTTCAAGCATCACACACGTGTTGTGTGAACGGCTATTAAAACAACAATGATATAAATATATTTAATAGAACAAATTTATTATTTTTCCTTCGTATGATAATTATTAAAGCGATCACCTACACACATAATTTTTCAAGCATCGCACACGTGTTGTATAAGCGGTCATTAAAGCAACCACGATAACAATACATTTAATACAACAAATTTAATATTTTTCCTTTGTATGATAATTATTAAAGCGATCACTTATATACATAATTTTTCAAGCGTCACACACGTATTGTGCGAGTGGCCATTAAAGTGTTAAAGAACAGAAAGTAAGACATGTAATAGCAGAACAGCAAGTAAGCTATACATATAGAAAAGCAACGAATAGGACAAATATAAAAGCAACAAATAAGACATACATCTCGATCATTTCGTTTACAGTTAAGAACTTTCTAACGAGTTGTTCAATGGGAACAGCAATTTCTGCCGTGCACCAATAAGTCACCCCCGGTGACATAAACTAATTATTATAATAAACTAATAACAAATTAATAATTAATATAAACTAATAAACTAATAATTTCGTTTGAAAATGTCACGTAGAAAAAGAATCTTAAATTAATCTTAAATTTAAATTAATCTTAAAAGAATCTTAAATCTAAATTAATTCCGATCCCTAAGATAATTCTCCCTTGTACACAAAAATGGACAATTCGGGAGGAGAAGATTATTCGAGCCTCGCGGCACGAATTTTCAACAACTATAAAAACGAGCCGCGAGGCTCGAACAATCTTCTTTTCTCAAATTGTCCATTTTTGTGTACAAGGGAGAATTATCTCAGGGATCAGAATTAATTTAGAATTAATTATTAGGCAATTCTTAACTGTATTCTCAAGATTCTTTTTCTACGTGACATTCCCAAACGAAATTATTAATTTATTTAGTTCATATTAATCATTAGTTTATTATTATTAGTTTATTAATTTACTGTAATTGGAACTTCAATTAATCCGGCATTAATGAATCAAGCACCCGGCGTATAAAACATAAAATACTCTAAAACAGAAGAAAGAGTTTCTCGTTCTGTAAAGAACGATCGACGAGCACAGGGGTTTGCGGAAAGCCTTGCAGTCGTAGTTACAATGGTTCGTGCAACCGGGCTTAGTCGATTGCATCGCTCGCTCGTTCGCTCTTAGCGTCACGAAGACGGCGACGACGACGACGACGACGACGAGGACGAGAACGCCGGTCGCACGAGCGTCTACTTTCAGTAATTAATAGTCGTGCATCGTTAATGACGGCGTGCGTAGATGTTTACGATCCGGCTATTATCATCTCCGATCGGCGTGGCTGCGCGCCGCGCCGCGCCGCTGCAGGAATTTTCCTCGCGCGCGAAACGGTTCCGGCGAGCGTCGATCAGAAAACACGCCGGGGCCGCCGCCGCGGCGAGACGCGATGCTTTATGAACGCGGAGGACGCGGAGCGAGAAAGGAAGCGGCCCGCTCGGGTTTCCGCAGGCGAGCGACACACCAGACACGACGTATCGATCCATCCGACCATTTTGCACGCCGCGGCGGAACCCTTGTCCTGCGAGATACAGCATCCCTTTTCGCTCGCCTCGCGGGATCGCTTTCGGACGCCCGGAGTTCCGACGGATTCGAGCGCCGTGTATCAACTTGAAAATATTAACCCTTTCCGCTCGAATGGCAACTCCAGGGCGCCATTAAAGATTGTCGGTGTCACGTTCGAGAATAATTTTATTAATCGAATTTGTTCATATTTGAAGAACTGTTGAATAGATAACTTGTTATATCGATCACGAAGTTCAATTTCATACCTATAAAATGCATTAGGTTATATAACATGGAAATACAGTAGGTTGCAAAAATTATATTAAATTTTGCGTTAATTTGACTTCGAGTGCACACACACAAAGGGTTAACTGGGAGCACCGGCTCCAAAAATTTTCACGATATCGATCCCGTCACTTGCCGGTTATCAACCCCGAAAATTCCCACAATGTCAACGTCAGTCTATCAACTATCCGTTTGCAGAACATTTATATTTACAGTAATGTCTCCCTTACTGACGCTCAGATTGTCCACGAAATTGAACAATTTGGGAAGATACGATTGTTCGAGCCTCGCGGGTCGTTTTTATAATTGTGGACAATTTATAACTATAAAAATAAACCGCAAGGCTCGAATAATCGTATCTCCTCTTCCCAAATTGTCCATTTTTGTGCGCGATCTGAGCGCGAATTAGGGAGAAATCGCTGTACAGTAATGTCTCCCTTACTGACGCTCAGATTGTCCACTAAAATAGATAATTTAGGGAGAGGAGATACGATTGTTCGAGCCTTGCGGCTCGTTTTTATAATTGTGGACAATTTATAACTATAAAAATAAACCGCAAGGCTCGAATAATCGTATCTCCTCTTCCCAAATTGTCCATTTTTGTGCGCGATCTGAGCGCGAATTAGGGAGAAATCGCTGTACAGTAATGTCTCCCTTACTGACGCTCAGATTGTCCACTAAAATAGATAATTTAGGGAGAGGAGATACGATTGTTCGAGCCTTGCGGCTCGTTTTTATAATTGTGGACAATTTATAACTATAAAAATAAACCGCAAGGCTCGAATAATCGTATCTCCTCCTCCCAAATTGTCCATTTTTGTGCGCAATCTGGGCGTCGATTAGAGAGATATTACTGTATTCACGCGTCTCTGCGTTAACTGTTATCGCCGAAAAATTACGTTTCATTTCAATTTCGAAGGAGCGAGTGGCATCTGTGTTTGGTCGATTATGTTCGAGATCTTCGCAAGTCTGTTGTAAGGTTAACGGTAAGGGTAAATAAGGGTAAATTGTAGAATATATTACAGTCCAAGGATAAATCTGATATTATAGTATAGGTAATATTCGTTTAACAGATAAATTAGCGATGTTTCATAGAATCAACGTAACCAGATAAGCAACATAATCAGATAAGTTAGTAGTATTTCCTAGAAAAAGTATGACTCGTTTAAGATTTAGCAACGTTTCTTACGAAGAAGTCGCAAGACCATTTCTTATAACTCGACTAAGAATTGGTACAAATAATTTAACCCTTTGCACTCGAGTGGTGACTCTGAAGCACCGCTAAAATTGTTGCATCACGTTCCAAGATAATATTTATATTTATATTTTATTGATATAAAAATATTGTTAAAAGTCCAATTGTTTTATGAGTCACGAGACTCAATTTCATATGCATGAAATGCACTTTGTCGTATGAAATGAAAATACTATAAGTCGGAAAAGTTAATTTAGATTTACAGTTAGAATGGCTTCGAGTGCCAAGGATTAATAGAATTTTCGACAATTTGATGGAAAGATAAAATATAGATCGCGACGCTTGAACGGTCGACGTTCGCTTCGAATAACGTCCAGCAACTTAAAGTACTATTACTTTGTAGTAAAGTTTTACGACTTACGTGTTTGCTTCATTATCGACTAGCAGATAAACTATATGGTCGGTGTCCCGAAGTTTTAGGGCGCTGGTTATTGGCTTGTTCAGACCCTGGGCTCTGGCCGAGGCCTCGCCCATGTCGTCCAAGACCCTGCTCAGTTGTCTCTGGCATTCGCTGAAACAGACATTTTTGACGAATTACAGACTTCTATTATTACAGCACGCTGTTTCGGATGTTACAGCGAAAGATACGCCGATGTTTCTTTATATGTTTGAAAATTAAATGCTAAATTATTTCGACTAAACTGGGAAACATAGGTTACATGTGAAAATATATCTGAAAATTGACGCATTGCACGCATGTGAATGCAAATAAATAGTTTTATTTATTATATAATAGTATAATTTATTGATATTCTAAATTGCTTTTGCAACGCTTTAGTTTGTCGAGGATGATTAAATTCTAGAAAACAATGATCTTTTTTACAAAAGTCGTCACACTGACCCGAACTTACCTTATTAAATATATGTAAGTATATCGAGGTAAATATACATAATAAAATAATAATAATAATATATAATATAATAAAAATATTATTTATAAATATATATTTATAAATAATATTTTTAAATAAATGAAACGACACCTACGAGCCATATTCTGCGATAAAATTTGGAGAATCTAAAGCGTTTCGAATATCTTATTTATAAGATTGTAACTGTGGTCGCGTTATTATTTATCGACATTGTCATAAATTATACGCCACGGTTAACTACGTAAATAGAACGAAGCAGTTGCTCCACTTTCGGTTCTCCTCTGTTTCCTCGTTTTTGCGCGAGTCATTCGCGTTCAACTTTTCTGTGATTCTTCTCTAAGGGAACAAAAAGTCTTGTACCTACTTGGAACCAGAAATGTTCGTTCTAAATTTTCGTTCGATTTAGATATTTCTTTGCTATGGAACGTTTCCATTAAAACACCGTTTCAAAGCTATTCACGTTATAGAATATTTTAAAAATTATTTGAATTAAATAAAATTTAGAAATTGTTTACGTTAAATGTATTTTGAAAGTTGTTTACATCAAATAAAATTTAAAAAACCATTTGCATGAAATAATATTCTAAAAATTGTTCGCATTAAATAAAATTTAAGAAACTGTTCGCATCAAACATATTCTAGAAACTGTTTATATTAAATAAAATTTAAGAACTGTTTACATTAAATATATTTTGAAAGCTGTTTACATCAAATAAAATTTAAAAAACCATTTGCATGAAATAATATTCTAAAAATTGTTCGCATTAAATAAAATTTAAGAAACTGTTCCCATTAAACATATTCTAGAAACTGTTTATATTAAATAAAATTTAAAAACTGTTTACATTAAATATATTTTGAAAGCTGTTTACATCAAATAAAATTTAAAAAACCATTTGCATGAAATAATATTCTAAAAATTGTTCGCATTAAATAAAATTTAAGAACTGTTTACATTAAATATATTTTGAAAGCTGTTTACATCAAATAAAATTTAAAAAACCATTTGCATGAAATAATATTCTAAAAACTGTTCGCATTAAATAAAATTTAAAAACTGTACAATTAAATACATCAATTTAACAATTTAACCGACTCGTTTGCTTGACATTTACCGTTCGAAATGGTACAACAATAAAATAAATGCTAAAAAACGAACGAATGTAGTGCGAATGTATACAATCTCAATTGTCTCGGGGAAAAAAACCTCGAAAACTATAGATACTCGAAAAGCAAGCCAAGAGTTAGAAATACCAGAGAAATCGTTTGGCAGTTGAACTTATGTACGTATCGCAATAAGAGCAACGGCGTTGAGAAGAAAAACGGAAGAAGACCTTTTGGCCAAGCAAATATTTATCGTGGCTTTCGGTCAGGAAAAACGAGCGGTCTTTTTAGCGGGGTTAAATGTTTACGATTCTTTCTCGCTCCGTGCCCCGGAGTGTTTCGCGAAACAATTACGGTCGTCACGGGGACAGGGCGCACCTTTCCTTCGAAACGCGACGATTTATAAAATCGATTACACAATCCGATTATGCTTCGTGGCTCTGAAATTAGCGTCTGAGTCAGCGCTGTGCCGCGGCGCGGCAACGACGGCGGCGGCGGCGGTGCGGTGCGGCTCCGCGTTCTCTCGTTCCGCATACTTGGGATCGTGCGCGTTCGAATCGCGTAAAGAATCGTCTACACGTGGAGGCCTGTCAATTAACGATCAACGGGGGTACTTCAAACCGATAATCACTCTTCCTATTCCCGCGAACAACCGTAACCGGCTGCTCGCCGCACAATTAGCCGCATTAATTACATTTCACGGACAGCGAAAATCGCTTACTTTGCATTTTCTTGTACTGTAATATCGATGCGTGTTCTTGAAACATTATGGCTCAGAATCAGAGGTCGGTATGATATTTTAAGGCGGACGAGAGATAAGGATTAACGATAATAAATTCGAATACATATTTATTTAGTCTACGATTTAATAGAATAAGATTTCATTCGAACGAAGATTCAGTTGTATAAGAAGTTATTTATTTTATCTGTTATTTCAGTAAGAAGCTATTTTTTGTTTTAATAATAAATTATTATTTATTCGAATAAGAAGCTATTTTTTACTTGAATAAGAATCTGTTTTTTATTTGAATAAGAAGTTATTTGTTATTTGAACAACAAGTTATTTATTATTTCAGTAAGAAGTGATTTGTTATTTGAATAAGAAGTTATCTGTTATTTCAGTAAGAAGCTATTTTTTATTTCAATAAGAAATTATTATTTATTCGAATAAGAAGCTATTTTTTACTTGAATAAGAATCTGTTTTTTATTTGAATAAGAAGTTATTTGTTATTTGAACAACAAGTTATTTATTATTTCAGTAAGAAGTGATTTGTTATTTGAATAAGAAGTTATCTGTTATTTCAGTAAGAAGCTATTTTTTGTTTCAATAAGAAATTATTATTTATTCGAATAAGAAGCTATTTTTTACTTGAATAAGAATCTGTTTTTTATTTGAATAAGAAGTTATTTGTTATTTGAACAACAAGTTATTTATTATTTCAGTAAGAAGTGATTTGTTATTTGAATAAGAAGTTATCTGTTATTTCAGTAAGAAG